GTAATGTATATTTATATCGATATATATATATACGTACATATAGGAAAAAGGAAAATATTTCTATTTTCATGGATGGAACTTCGTATTGCGAACGTACTTCTGGTTTGGTAGTGCATATGCGTCGGATATCGATCAACGTACACTTTTAGATGCTGTGGAACCTTTGACTAGTCATAGATATCTCTATGGAAAAAATATGTGTTGCAGGAAATGCCTTAATGTCGACTGGTGCCTATTTAAAGCCATTCTTTACCAGCGCTCATGGCGTCTCTTATATATGTGTCTACTTGTATGTCCGTTTCAGGCTAGCGGCTACCTATCCCACTTAGGCTCATGTACCTGCGCACGTGGAAGTCTTACTGTTTCGCCTCTGTGGGAGTCACAAAAGTTTGATGCGGTCTTTGTCGCTCGAGACATTTCTACATGCACAAGTATTTGATGTCAGCAACCTTGGATTCTATGTATGTGCTTGGCTAAAGACTCGTACCATGATACCAGATGATTGATACTACATATTGCCTTTACCTCATCTCTGATATCTGTACGCGTAGGTCGGGGTACAGAGCGGTGGTTCTGCGCTCATGTGGCGGTGGTATTTCGGGGAGAAGTTCAGATACATAGGAATCGACATCAACCCGGCCGTGCAACAGTTTAAGGCTCCCTGGGCCACAATACTCATAGGCGATTCTGGGGACCCCGAGTTTTGGGCGAAAATCAGAGCGGTGTGTATACGACCATCTTTCCTATACATTTGCATTGCTATAATTTGACATTGAAGACACCAAACGTGGATGTTTCCTGACTCTAGTCGAGGTATGGACTTAGCTATCATATGTACCGGCTATTGTTTGTACGCCCTGCACCTCTTAGCCCGGGTGCATATAATTTGGGCCACTAAGGCCCCGTTGGTTTATTGACACCGCCTCCGCTCCTCATTCTTTAGGACTACCCTGAGCGCCCGGACATTTTCTTAGACGACGGTGGGCACACCATGACGCAGCAACTGAACGCGTTCAAGTACGCGTACGATTGGGTCAAGGACGATGGTATCTATGCGTGCGAGGATCTACATACCAGCTACATGCCTTCGCACGGGGGTAAGCTGTACACACTGGACGAGGGTGGCGACCACCATCCCGTTCAGCACAAGGATACTAGTAAGCTCGTATTGGTAGGTGGTGTGCGTCGTGTCGCGGCGGAGTGTGGGTGGGATAGTGTAGGTGTGTGGGTGGGATTGTGTAGGTGTGTGGGTTGGTACAATAGACGACAGGGATGTGGCTGAAGGGTGCGGTTGTGTGGTACAGGTGTGGAATGTTTTCTGCGTACGCCAAGTCCGCAGAAAGGAATCTTCCTTTCCCAGGTCAGGCTTTAGGGTTTTGGGGTTAGGAATAAAGTTTTCGCTGTGCGCAGCCAGGCATGGGCCCAACTGTGCCGCATAACTGAATCTGCCCACAAAACCACTACCATTGCTTGGACTTCAACGGAGATGGGCTGTCTCACACCATGGCCACTTCCCACACATGCACACAGATGACCGATCTGATCAAGAACAGCGTCGACTACCTGCACGCACAACGCAACAACAACTGCGGCACCAACGAGGTGTGCAAGCTCACCAAAGACACACTACAGAGTATCAGTCTGTCCGAGAGCATCGTCTTCTATCAGAAGGGGCCCAAGTCTGTACTCGTATGTAAAACAGGGGGACGGTCTATTCCGTACGCTGAGACGGATACGAAGTACGAGGATATGTTTATGGATGACATGCTAGCCGTGGCACAGGAAGGCACTGGGGGTGCGTGTGAGACTGGTAACCGAGCGTCGATGTGGAAGCCCAGGCCGGGCTATGAAAAGATGAAGAGCATAATCAATAGGTAGAGCGCCCGTGACGCTCGCAGTGATGCCAATTCAGCACCTGCGAAGTGATCGTGTATCTGGTATTCGTTCAGGGGGGGCAGTAAGTAACCAGCCATCCTAACCAGCCAGACTGTCCCAGGGGTGAGTGTTCTAGCAGATGCGTGAGGGTCTCGCTCTAGCGCACTTTGACACGTACGGTGACGAAGTGTGAGGGTAGCGGTGAGACGGTACAACAGGCCAAGACACCAGCGCAAGCAGTTGGTACTATCTGGTAGGGAGATGTATCGGAGCGCCTGTGCGGCTGGGACGACTGGTACCATGCTGTGCGGTTAGTTAAACTGTTTGCAGTTGCGAGTATACGCTAAACACGCACTCAGGCCGCCGCCTCTCTCCACACCCAGGCCTGTGAAGGCTACTGCGAAGAACCGCAATGCGAGACAGAGGAATACTCAGTGGAGCAGTCCGTGTACGTTTACTCGCGTATGCTACTGTGTCGAGTAAGAGCGATTCAATGGCGGATTCCGCATCGCTCACAGAGTAATCATTCCTTTAATAAATAAATGTCTTCTGCGAAAGTTGTTGTAATCAGTTTGTCGTCTATTTTTATTCTGTGCAATTTTGTATGATATTTCGTCAACATCTTGTACTGGGTTGGGCGGGTATGTGTACGCTGACTTGTAGAATTAATACTCGATACTCAATAATATATATAAATAAATAAATAAATATAAATATATATTTATATATATATACATCTATATATATATACATCTATATATATATAAATAATGTATATATATATATATATATATATATACATATACATATTTACATATACTACATACAATGCATATAATACATATACTACATTATATGTATATGTATATATATATATATATGTATTTATATATATATATATATATATAATATATATATATATATATATGTACATGTATATAGACATATATATAGATTAGTTTTAGCGGTCATAGGTCAACCTATGTTTTGCTGCAGACAAATTCATAATTCATACCTATCCCTACAGCCAGCGTGCAACTGGCCCGAAACCTCACTTCCCAGCACATCTGCGGGAATTACGAGCCCATATTCTCACGGGTATATCCCTGCCGACAAGAATGTACAATCGGCCCTCTAGTACTACAGCCAGCTCGCAGAAGGGATGCTGCGCCTGCTCTTGATTGGTTATATCGTTAGATAGCCATCTTATATACTCATAAGTAGTGAACTTTCACCGACTGCTTTTCTACCCCACATTCCCAAACTGACCACCCCTTCTTTTCCCTTTGTGAGTGGTTGTTAGCCGTGGTTGGCCAAGTGGTGATCTGTATGTGCCCACATGTCACCGACCAACGCACCATGCGCCGATGTGACATCTCATGGCACCTGTTGGTACGTTATTGGGTCATACTCTGTTGTTTGGGCCTACCCTCATCACCTGTACTGTCATCCGTCAGTGCCCCGTCACCGACTGTGTCACCAGTTTATGCGTCGCATCACGCCACCCATATGTATGTTATTATCACTTGCCATGGCATATGTCATATGCTACATGCCAATTGCATTCCTATCTCTCGCATGTCTGGACTTTAGAACTACCTGTATCTGTCGAGATCACTATCTGCCTCACTGCCCACCAACACATATTCGCGATGGGTCCGTCTACGCCGCCTATTCTCCACATAACTCAACACACTCATCAACAAACACACACTCGACGCCCCTAGTCCCAGCGCAAAACTGGACATATAACTCCCGGTCCTCTCCCGTAAGGTAGCCGCCATACTGGACCCAAACGCACCCATAGTGAACTTGACAGCCATCATAACACTAGATCGAAGGCCCAGTGTATGAGCACCCATGCTTGGTAGAACCGCCGTGGTTATCGCAAACACACCGGCATAGCCCACGCCAAACATGACACTGCACAGATACAGTCTCCAACTCTCCCCAGTGAGCGATACATGCCACACCTGAACCTGACTGGTGTCAGGGTGGGTGCCATTCGGCTCAGCGGAGTTGCCTGTGGCCGTGACCGAAAACATCAACGCAAACCCCGACGTGAACACACAGGCAAAGGCCACCATGAGTGTGTAGTGGCAGTACTGCTTGGTCAATAGCCCGGAGCCCAGCTTGGCGAACACGGCAAACAGGCTTACTACCGCGATATATCTGGCCGCCACTTCGAGGTCCATGTGGAGGTCTTCGTGGGTGTACATTGTGATGTGGTCGAACACGACGTGCACGGCCACGCTCTGAGACGCCATACCCAGTATCAGATACACAAACGGTAGCTGCAGCAACCCCCTCAGTCGCTGCCAAATGGTCTGGCTGTGTGCTGTGTGAGGCCGCGTGTGTGTGTGCCTGTGCGTGGGTGACTGTAGGAATGTGGGCGATGAGTCTGCTTGGGTTGGTGGGCGGTGACGTGGTTCACTTTCCTCTTCCGTGTACAGGTCGTGTGGATACTCCTGCACAGTACACCTCCAGTTCTCTCGTGCCTTTAGCGAGTTCAAATCTTCCCCCACGTTACCCATCAAGCCGGTGTCTGAAGTGTTTCCTCTACGTACACGTCCATTCCTATCCAATCCCCCTTCTTCTACATCTACATTCAGATTCCCAGCAATACCCGTATCACCTGGCTCCATCGGCTTTTTATGAACGCTTCCCCTACCGCCTGTTGTGTGACCGTGCCGATCTGTAGCGGCCAAAGGCGACTGCTCACGTATCTCCAATCCTCCAACATCGCCCACGTTGCAGTTTTCGACCGAGCGCCAACCCCGCAGACTAAACCCGTACAACGCTCTCTTATTGGATTGCGCATGGGCGAAGGTCTGGGCATCGATAGTTTCTTCCTCCATGCGATTGTGCACAACGCGTCTGTCTCTGTCTGTTTCCATGTTCGTGTTGGTGTCCGTTTCCGTACTCCCGCCCGGTTCTTTGCTATGTGCATCGACACTATAACCAACACCAGACGCATGCCTATCTCCAGTACGGGAGCTGGCAGGTGTTTTATACGAATGTACTAACTCTGGACGGGTATTGGGTCTGACCAACAGTAAAGCCAATGGCAATCCTACCAGAAAGAATATACAGTCTATAGTGAGCAGTGCTGTGCGCCACCCATACCGAGTGGCCAACGTACCCAGCATCAAAGGAGTGATAAAACCAGCCAATGAAAAGCCAGAGATAATGATCGATGACGCCACCCCGAACGAATCGGAGAACCACGATGAAGCTATTTTTAGAAAGGAGGGCAGGCCGCCGAACAAGACCGTGCCGGAGTAGACGCACATCAGTCCCACAATCTGGTAGATATTCTGTGACATGGGCAGTCCAAACCTGTAAAACGAGTGTCACGTCGGGTGGGTAGTGGTAGAGATAAGTTTGTATTACAAAGAGCCATAGACACGGCTCACACATGCAGGTCTCCGTTGCCCAGTGCATGGTAGAGGCCTAATGTTCCACAGTTGGAACTACGCGTGTCTAAGCATGGTGTGCATAGTGTGCGTGTACTCTCCTACAAGGACGTGTCAACTAACAGATCGTGAGCTCAGAGGTTCTGAACGGATTCGATTCGAAAGTTTTACTTCGACCACTGTCTGTGGTGGTGCGAGAGGCAAATCCATCTTGAGCTCAACGGAGCTAAATATTTGTGCATGTATTTGTATGATTACAAAGTGACTGTGATGGGGAAAAAACCGGCACTCAGATGTACGGACACAAGACAACAACATGTCAGGAGCACATCACTTCACATGGTACTGTTACCACCACTATGTGCTGTTGCTGACACACTGGTGAGAGTCTACACCTCACACCAGACCATGGCACTTTCTTATACTTCGATTATGGTGATATAGCAGGAACGCAAGGTGTCGGATGAGCCAGCAAGCGCCGCGACCAGTACACAAACGCATCAAGAGTACTTATACACAACGTTGCATTGGTGAAGCCTAAATTGTACCGGCTAAGCATATGAATGGCTCATATGTATATATACACACCCTTGCATAGGTGAAACCTACATTGCATCGGCTAAGCACATGAACAGATCGTGTGTATTTATACACACTGTTGCATAAGTGAAACCTACATTGCACCAGTCAACTATGTCATACAATATAGGATTTTCTCAGCCACCGCGAGGACGCATTTGTGGATAAAACTTCTCATTGTATATGAGACACATATGCATTAAAAGGCAGAATCACATCTATACGCATAACACCGGGGAAGCCGAGGGTGTGAAACTTACGAAAGCATTGCTGCCAGGGTAAGAGCAAATACGATTGGTTTGCGAGCACCGGTATAATCCAACAGCAGACCAACCGGCACCAAACCTATCCCCTGAATGACCCGGAACACAAACAGTGGCCAGTTCACCTCTTCGACAGTTAATCCTGTGACAGGGAAAGCCGATAACAGTTGTGGGTAATACATAATAGTAAATGAAAACGCGTCATGGCGGGTGTACCTCTGATGTTCATCGTACAGATTCAAGAGGAAGTGATGAATTATCACGCATATATGCCACAGCATAATCGATTCTACAATTCGTAGGTAGAGCATGCATAAATATTAGCTTTTCTACATAAAATATATGCAAATATATATACACCTATATTATATATATATATATATATATATATATATATATATATATATATATATATATATATATATATATACTAACACACACCACAACACACACATATATATATATATATATATATATATATATATATATATATATATATATACTATA